ACCTGCCTTCTGCACACCCCCCGCTAGGGATCGAGCCTGCAACCCAGGCATGTGCCCTGACTGAGAATGGAACCAACGACTTTTTTGGTGCATAGGATGACACCCCACCAACTGAGCCACACAGTTCAGGCCGCTCTATTTTTATACCTCTGTTTTAGTTAAGAGACTGATTTAACTGCCAATGTTACACATAAAGTGTAATAGTCATAACAGTGAAGTATGTACATAAAATAATACATTGACTAATTCCCCTCATTAAGACAGGGGTAAGCATACTAAACAGCCCTTAAAATTGTTGAGATGGTCTTTGCAGAATTAATTAAAAATCTATTGTGTTTGCCTTTGGCCTTGCTTCCTATCTTAGTCATTTTCACTTTCTATGAATTCTAGGACCCCAAGTCATGATGCTTTTATTGTTTGCATACAAAATAGATTTTTTTTTTCATGGGAAGTATTGTTACTATTTGGAGTTTAGTGAATTCAGTTTAAAGTATGGATGGGCTTGTAGATGAAACTGTTCTCAAACAAGTAGAATTAGGCAGAGGTTAAGTAGCTGTGTTTTTGGAAGACTTAAGATGGGGTTGTAAGTGACTTACACATATTAACTCATTGAATCCTCCTAGCATCCTTATGAGATAGGTACACTTTTATCGTTTTTACTGAGGAGGAAGCAGAAGCTCAAGGCAATAAACAGTGGAATCACTGTTTTGTTGTTTTATAAAATATATATTTTATTGATTTCAGAGAGGAAGGGAGAGGGAGAGAGATATAGAAACATCAGTGATGAGGAAGAAACATAGATTGGCTGCCTCCTGCACACCCACACTAGAGATCGAGCCCACAGCCCAGACACCTGACCTGACCGGGAATTGAACTGTGACCTCCTTGTTCATAGGTCAGTGCTCTCCCACTGAGCCATGCAGGCCGGGCAAGAATAACTGTTTTTAGTGTCCCTGTATTGAAAGAGGGTAATCAGCCCTGGCCTGCTCAGCTGGTCAGGGCATTGTCCCAATACCTCAAGGTTGGGGATTCAATCCCCAGTCAGGGCACATACAAGAATCAACCAATGAAACTGGCTGCTCTGAAAAGCCATCTTTGCATTGTTCTGTGGCTGCCTCTCCGCTGGCTACAGCTACCTCCAACATGGGCCTCCTCTGCCACTTTGGATTCCAGCAACTTCTACGCCAGAGTTCTCCAACTCTCACTTTAAAAAAAAAATTCGGTGCATCGGATCACTGGCGTGCCCCACCATGTCAGACACGGCTGTGGACACCAGCTCCGAGATCACCACCAGGGACTTAAAGAAGGATGTTGTGAAGGCAGAAAATGGAAGAGATGCACCTGTGAATGGAAACGCTAATGAAAATGGAGAGCTGGAGGCTGACAATGAGGTAGAAGAAGGAGAGGAGAAAGAGGAAGGTGATGGTGAGGAAGAGGATGGAGATGAAGATAAGGAGGCTGAGGCATCTACGGGCACACGGGCAACTGAGGATGATGAGGATGACTAGACAGCAAAAAAGGAAAAGTTACACTTAAAAGAAAAAAGGACTCCGTGACCTAGTCTCCCTCCACTTCCCATCTCAGAATCTAAACATGGTCACCTTCAAGTAGAGGCTCCTGCCTGCCTGCCCAACTCGGGCAGCGCCACCTGCAGGTGATATGCACTCTTCACCACCCAACCAAAACCACAACGTGAATTTGCAACGGGAGGAAAAAAAGAACCAGAACTTCCACGGCCCTGCTTTTTTTTTAAGTACTTTAAAAAGGAAAATTTGTATTTTTTATTTACATTTCATATTTCTGTACATATTGTTGGGTTCGCCATTTTTAATGATCTTGGGATGACCAAACTAGCCTTTGGATCATTCTCTGTCTTTTTTTTTCTTTTTCTTTCTGTCCTACTTCTGACTTTACTTGTGGTGTGAAAAAAACCTTGTAAAAAAAAAAGCAACAACAACAACAAAAACAGTCTTATTCCGAGCATTCCAGTAACTTTTAGTTGGTTTATATGAGATGGTTAAAAAGGTTTCTTTCCCCCCTTTTTTTTGTCTATGAAGTTGCCATTTTTTTTTTTTTTGGCCTGTTTTGATGTATGTGTGAAACAATGTTGTCCAACAATAAACGGGAATTTTATTTTGCTGAGTTGTTCTAACAACAAAAATCAACCAATGAATGCAAAAATAAGCGGAACAACAAATTGATGTTTCTCTAAATCAATAAAAAATTTTAAAAAGAGGGTAATCTATATACTTGTTTCCTTGAGAAAAAAATATTAGAAAAATTGTTTAAAACTTTGATTTTTCATTAGTGGTCAGGTTAGAACAATATTACTCTAAGGATGTATACATTTTTTCTATTTGTCATGCTTATGTAGGTTTTAAAAGAATATCAGACAGAATTAAGACAAAATACCTAGCAGGTCTGGAGGGGCACGGTGGAAGGAAAAAAGGGCACATCTGTAATATTTTCAACGATAAAGATAAATTAAAAATAAAGACTTAAAATACCTAAAAATTATTTTTCTAAAATCAGGGTGTGTTTTTTTTTTAGTTTATTTGAAGTTCACCTGAAACAGCCATTACAATTTTGTCAAGTGTGAGCTTGTAGGAAATCTTTTAATTCTTTGACTCTTTTAGATTTTATGGGTTAAGAAAATTACTTCTTGGGTAAAATGAAAGTGAATTAGTGAAAAATGAAGCGGTGTATTGGGCTTTTAAATTTTGATTTCTCTAGTCCTTCCAGAAGAGGGCGCTTGGTGTTTACGTGAAATTTTAGAGTTGTTTTTCTTTGATTGTAGATTGGGAGTCCTCCTCTTGATCCTACTGAGCATTTTCTTCCTGAAGAAGAGAAACTTACTGAACAAGAGAGATCAAAAAGGTGAGTAGGTATAGAAATCAGCCCTCACAGACATTTTCACATAGTGTAGATGATTGTTAAACACGTTTTCTCTTTCAAGGCACTCATAAAAGTTCTAGAATGTGGATTCTGAAACGAATTAAAACCTTCATTTGCCACTTACTTAGATATGTGACTCTGTTCATGTCTAAGGATCAGTTTCCTTATCTGTCAAATAGCCATACCTGATTTAAAGGGTTGGTGAGAGGATTAAAGTACATATATATGAAAGTTCTATATAAATTGTAAACCATTAAGCAAATATTGATTTTTTTCTTCATAGATTTGAGAAGGTTTATACTCATAACCTGTATTACCTGGCTCAAATCTACCAACATAAGGAAGTGTTTGAGAAGGCTGCTCATTATTGCCACAGTACCCTAAAACGCCAGCTTGAGCACAATGCCTACCATCCTATAGAGTGGGCTATTAATGCTGCTACCTTGTCACAGTTTTACATCAATAAGGTAAGCTTCTTGAAGTTGTTATCTAACAAAGTTACCGATAGAGTATATGAAATATAGAACAATATATAGTACCTTGAAAATATAATCTTTTAAAACTCGGTAGCTTAGGGACATCTGTAATAGAGTTCAACGAAGACAACAACAGAAGCATATCCACACAACTGGCATCCAGCTAGAATGGCATGGGCCTTTGTGGTAGTTTTAACCAAAAAATGGGATATAAAGTAGCCAACCAGTAGCCCATACTCTCATCTCAACAGTAGTAACAATAAGAACTTATAATTAAACCTTGAAAAAAATAGGTAGCTTATATTTTGATGTAAACTAGACAGAAAAATACAGCCCGGTTTGCCAGTGTGCTAAAATTTTGTAACTTTTGTTGTATTAATCTATTGAATCTTAAAATACTGAGTTTTATCATTATCTTACATGTTTCTAGCCTCTAAAATTACGTTACCTAAGACCAATTCATTTTAGTGACATGTTACCTTAACTTGTAGATTTTGTAGATATAACTTTATCTTTAGACAATTGTAATCTGCTGGCTATGAGAATTTGAGGAAGTTGACTGTTAAATGTGGGCTTTGATAAAAGCATGTGATGCATTTCAGTTATTTAGAAATTCTTTATAATAATTTTTCTATATTGGGAATATCTCTGCTCAGTTCCAGAGTTCCAGGTCTTTATGATATACTTCACAGGGACTTTTAGCTTTTTAGTTGTTTATCAAAATTATTAAGAATCATATTGTGTACTTTTGTCTTGTTTGTTCCTCTATTCAAGATCTTGTTTTTAATGCTAAAACACTTTTAAGCCACCTTTCCCAGCTAGATATTTTGTTAATCCTCAGTCAGATATCTCAGCAATAGAAATTACTTTTATTTGTATTTCTGATTCACAAGCCTCTCTGAAGTTTTGGTAATTTTTGCTTATCAGAGTTCCTTCTTAGATCTCTGGTTGCCTGCTGCGATATCCTTATTTGGGCCTTTATCCTTTCTAAGATTTTTGTTAGTGCTGATTCTGTAAATGCACCCTATGTTTAAAGCATCGTCCCACAGAATTTCATTCAGAAAAGCTATTAGTAGGAGAGAAAGGGCTGTGGTGACTGCAGCACTGTGTCTAGGACTATGGTCTAAGTAAGTAATGCTGCTGCATATATCAGAGCATTCAGTTAAATCTAACTCATGCATCCATTTCATTGTGGCCATCATCAAAAAGTGTTATCTTGTGCCTCTGCTTGTGGCACCATTTTTATAACTTCTGGGCACCTCTTACTTGTTTTGTTTAAAGTTACATATTCACTGTGATTATCACTTAAAACAATGTTGGTATTGATAATACTTAGATACCAAAGTGTAATTTAAAATATAAAGTTGTTAAACATTGCTTACGTGGAGCATGCAGTAGTTTTCACGAGTACCTCCACTACCTTGTGCTTTTATTTTTTTACCAAGATGGTTTATAAGTTTTTGTTACAGCTGGTTAAGTTGTACTGCAAAGAGAGAGATTTGAACCATGTTTTTAAAAAAGCAGCTGTCATTTATATCATCCTCATCTTCATCTGGTTCCAGAGGTGAGGTTTTGCTATTTGGTGAATCCCTACCTGGCAGGTGCTAACGTCCCACATTTAGCAGCCACCTAGAGGGCACAAAGCAAGACACTCACTGTTCTAGTGGTTGCTCACAGGAACCAAGCTGGAGAAAGCTGAAGTAATGAAGGCTGAGAGATTGTGGAAGGACAATTAAAGCTGTTTATGTAAACGAACTTTTTTTTTTTTTGAGGTTTAACACTAACACTTTGATCTGTAGATGTTGCTGGGCTAATACTACACATGGTCCCCAGATATTCTCAAGATGGCTCCTGAATTTGCCATTAGGGAGGGCTACATTCAATGTTGAGATTTTAAAGTCATAGCTAACTATTAAAAATCTTAGCAAAATCAGTAGGTATATCTAACATGAAATAGACATATTTATGAGGATGGCTTTCAACTAAAAATTGGACTTGAACTTAGTACTTTTGCTGGGTGGTCCCGTGACTTACATGATAAATGCAAAGTGTTCACATTAACAAAGAGATCTTCTCCAAGCATTTGAGAAGTTTACTATGCCCAGATTTGAATTATGAAGTCTTCAAATGTGTTGATAAAGCAGTTTTGTAAAATTTGTCTGTGGAAAGTCGTTGAGAAAGTGGTGGGAATTCTCATAAATTTGAAGATTTTTAGAAGACAGGAATCTCTTCTTATTATTTTTGCCTTTGAATGGTAGGACATAAAAGGGATCTCTAAACCTAAAAAACATCAAATCTTTAAGTCCTCTGACAGAATGTAAATGGTCTAAGACAGTGGTTCTCAACCTTCTGGCCCTTTAAATACAGTCTCTTATGTTGTGACCCAGCCATAAAATTATTTTCGTTGCTCCTTCATAACTGTAATGTTGCTACTGTTATGAATCGTAATGTAAATATCTGATATGCAGGATGGTCTTAGGCCACCCCTGTGAAAGGGTCGTTCGACCGCCCAAGGGGTCGCGACCCACAGGTTGAGAACCGCTGGTCTAAGACGTTATCGTGCACTTCTTTGGCTATCTGGGCAGAACCTAAAGATGATCTGAGGCACTTTGAGTCTATGATGATAGCTATTATTATATACTTACTGATTACCTGAGGAGAGCCAACTCAGTCAGCAGCTGTCTTCCAGTCAGTTTGGTTTTTTAAGAGTTTGGGGGCATTGTACTTCTTTGAGGCAGCCTTGTAACTTGATAATACCATAACATGTCTTCTTAATGTTCGGCAACTATACCGGGTCTCCTTAGTAGTTTTTACTGATTTTAATAGCTTTTCCCATATCAATTACAAATAAGGCTGTGGGACAGTTGCATTTAATCTTGTTTATTTCCTTAACAGCAATGCTTTATGGAGGCCAGGCACTGTTTATCAGCTGCTAATGTCATTTTTGGTCAAACTGGAAAGAACCCAACCACAGAAGACAGTAAGTTTATATGTACACGTTTTATTATATATAGCTTTTAAAAACTTTATTTTAAATAATTTAACTTTAAAAAATTCAAGAACAAAACAAAAAACTACCCACTACTAGTATATGACCTTCTAAATTCACCTGTTTTTAATATTTGCCTCATTTGTAGTCACATTTTATTTTTGTTTCTGAACTATATGATAGAAGATTGCATACATTAGACTTCTTTACCCCTTAATACTTAAATGTGTTTTTCTTAAGGATAAGGATGTTTTATGTAATCATAGAAAAAGAAATGATACAATTCTTTTATCTGTAATGCATATTTCTATTTCATTAATTGTCCTCATAATGTCCTTTATAGTAGTTCTTTTCTAATACCAGAATATCCATTTCAAGATTGCATATTGCGTTTAGTTTTCACACCTCTTTAGTCTTTTTAAATCTGGAATGTTCCTCAACCTCTCTGTCTTTCATCATATAGACATTTTTGAAAAATACAGGCCAGTCATTTCATAGAATTTTCATCAGTTGGTATGTTGATGTTTTCTTACACTAAGATTCAGATTACAATAGTACCCCCTTACCTACAGGGGATATGTCCCAAGACCCCCAGTGGATGCCTGAAACTGTGGTTAGTAGTGAACTCTATATCTACTGTGTGTTTTTTCTTGTTTATATATACCTACTGTATATAAACTACTCTTGTGCTTTGGGGCCATTATTAAGTAAAATGAGGGTTACTTGCACACAAGCACTGTGATACCAGCAGCAATCAATCTAGGTGACTACTAAGTGACTAACAGCAAGTCATGTTTACACAGCGTGGATACACTGGACAAAGGGATGGAATAGGACAGTATGAGATGTCATTACACTACTAAGAATGGCATGCGATTTTAAAACTTATGAGTTATTTCTGGAATTTTCCATTTAATATTTCCAGACCATTGTTGAACTTGGGGAACTGAAACCATGGAAAGCAAGACCACAGAAAAGGTGGCACTGCTATATACACTTTTCGTTGGAATACTACATAAATGATGTGCCCAAATATCTAGTTTTTTAATTATAGTGTTTTAGTCTTAAAAACCATAGTTAACATTTATATTTGAGCAAATCAATGAGATATCACCTCACACTTGTTAGATCAAAAAGTCATGAAATAAGTGTTGGTGAGAATGTGGAGAAAGGGGACCCTTGTGTACTTTTGTGTAAATTGGTTCCTCCTCTGTGGGAAAACAGTATGGAGGTTCCTCAAAAAATAAAAATAGAGCTACCTTATGAACCAGCAATTCCACTTCTGGGTATATATCCAAAGGAAAGGAAAACACTAACCCGAAAAGCATCTGCCCTGCAGCAGTGTTTATAATAGCCAAGATTGGAAGCAACCTCACTATCTATCCGTGGATGAATGGATAGTGAAAATGTAGCATACATATTCAGTGGAATATTATTTAGAAGGAAATATTTTTTTTAGAGAAAGGTACAGACTTCCAGTTTTAAAATAATTACATCATGGAGTTGTAATATATAGCATGGTTAACTGTATTACATATTTGGAAGTTGCTAAGAGTAAATCTTAAAAGTCCTCGTCACAAGAAAAAAAATTTTGTGGCTGTGTGGTGATGGATATTTACTAGACTTGTGATCATTTTGCAATATGCAAATATCAAATCACATACATCTGAAGCTATTCCTATATAATAAAGGGGTAGTATGCAAATTAACCCTCATGCCCTCACAAGATGGCTGCCTACAACCAGGCCGGCAGGGGGGTTAGTGAGGGACAACCAAATGACTGAACAAGCAGGCTGCGTGGGGCAACTAGGCTGGCGGGTGCAGTTGGGAGCAACCAGGCAGGCAGGGGGGGCAGTAAGGAGTGACTAGGCCGGCAGAGAGGGGGCAGTTAGGGGTGACCAGGCAGGTGAGCAATTAGGAACCAGTGTTCCAGGATTGTGAGAAGGATATCTAACTGTCAGTTAGGCCCGATCCCCAGACCTAAACTGGCAGTCAGACATCCCCCAAGGG